CATTGGCCAATGGCAATTACTCTTATCGTAAATGTAAGCCATATGGTCAAGTCATCACCGTGCTTTATTTTATCAGGAGGTATCCAGGCGTGTCATCCCTGAATTTAAATGTGCTTTGAGAGCTCTCCAATGTGTATTCTAATTGGCACGCTCACCTTATAACTGGGCCCAAAGAATTTGAATGAAGTGCATGTCCTTGTAAATGCAATACGATTCTTTTGTTCCATTAGATGATGGCTGAGGAAGTACAATTTTAATTCTAAATTCCTATTTGTATTGTGCTGTGTAATGCTTCATTATTTTAAAATATTAATGCTTAATAAAATACCACAGTTTTTTATACTTTTACCTATAACATCAAAAATGTAACTGATAAGCAAAACACTAAAATCTAAATTATTAGTTAAAAAAGATCTATCTTGCGTCTCAGTTTTAGTGCAAGCACAATTATAATGTACAGTACATTAAATATATATCACTGTTGAAATATTTACTTGAATTGTGCATAACCTCGAAGGTTATTATTTAGGCAGAAGTTCCACAATGGTCTCAAGAGGTGGAGATGAACAACGCACATAGGAGATTATTTCATTTTATGAAGACTGAGGAATGTGGCCGATTTTCATGCTTTCGTGCAATTCTTGCATTATCAGAAAATTCTTGAAATTGCATACTTTTACGCAAACTTTTTGACATTGTTGTCTCTGCCCAGACCCCGCTCACTTTAGGCCATTTTTAAATTGCAGCATGAGACGTTACGGATTATTTTTTTGTACACAGTTCATGGCACGTTCATAGAAAAATGTGACGTTTTCTGGTTATGTATGAAAATTATCCATCATTGCACCCAAAAAATGGCAGAATGATGGCGAAATTCTATGTGAATTGAGCCCATGGTGTGTATTTCAGTATTATAACGAGAGTACCATATAGTCGTTTTAAATTATGTATACATCTGGAAAGAATTAAGGATTTGGGGCACAAAGTGTCTTTATTGCAAATACATTGATCCATTCAATAATATAATTACAATGAAGGTTATATTTTGGGGTTTTCATTGCTATGGCTGAAATCTAAACTGAAAACATTGTTAAACAATTCTAGATACAAAAGTATATGAGGAAAGGTGATACAATAAATTGTGTCGTTAAACTATATTTTACTTAAAATGTCCATAACTTTTAGAAACTTGTAAAGCGAATTAATAAAAATGTAGCTTAAACGAAAATTATATTCTGGAACAATTTACAGAGTAAGAGTTTTGGAAAAACAAATGAGCTGATGTTATTTATTTTGCTTAGCTATGTGTGAGAAATTATATATTTAAAAACGTTCATGCAAATAGGGCTCTGTTTGATGAAATTGTGGATGGCATGGCCCATTTACTTTGTATATAATGAATGCTATAATTTAGAATTTTCGAAGTACAAAGCAAGCATTAATTAACAGACAGATATAGACCACAGCTGTATATATAAACTGAAAAAGCATCATACATACACACATACGCTTCGTATTTTGTACATATGGAAGTAAGCATGCTTTGATTACAATAAAGTATTTCTTCATTAATATATTACGAGCAAGTATTGATATGTACAGTACGGTATATGCAAAATTGGGACATTCTAAATCATGCACGTTCACATGTAGTGGATTTATTCTTCACTGCAAATGGATATGTGTTGGCAAATACGCTCATTGAATCATCGAGCTTCTGAAAAGGAAGATGAGCAAAACTAAGAGCAGAGAGTTGTATCACCCTGAAATGCTGTGTAGCATTCACCTCGGCATCACCCGCTGGAATGCCACTTGAACCACAGCAAAGTGCCCTGTTTGCTGATGGGCTGAGGTATGCAGATATCGCTAACGGCCTGGTTGATTTGTGTCTCCTGCAGCTGAGAAGCTGTTCTGGGGTCCTTCGGAAGTGTTAAGTTATTTGCTTTAGCACTGGGATACTTGACCGGTGCCGATCCCAGGATGCAGTGGGGCAGTGCTGGCAACTGATGGAGATATGCCACCATTGCAGCTGCTGGAGATAGAGTGGCACAATGTGGGCGAGTGTAACAGTGTATTAGCCGTGCAACTGAGTCAATATAATTTCTAATTGTAGCAGCAAAAACTTATATTGGTTATGACGAGTCAAATTTGGTGTGGTGTGCAGCACAGAAAAGGAGCAGTTTGAGGCTGAGAGGCAGTGGTGGGCTGCCTGGCAGGGGGCTGCATTGGAGGCGGCGTGTGGTGATGCGAGAAACTGTGTGTGTGGGTGTGAAGAGAGCCACATGCCTCTCTGGAACCGATTATTACTTTTTTTGGCGACGTTGTTTAATGGAGCATAGAGCTTGAGAAGGGGGAGGGCCTGTGCAACAGGGCAGAGTCAATACGTGTGGATTGGTGCTGTGCAGAAATACAATGGGCTGGTCACCATAAAGGTGTAATGACAGTAGAATTAACCTGCGGTGTGAGTGTACTAGTGGCCACGGGAGGTACTGTAAGGACAGGGGAGTCGGCCTACAGTGCGAATGGACTAGTGGCCACGGGAGGTAATGACAGTGTTGTCAGCTTGCTGTACGGTGCGACTGATGGCTACGGGAATGATCGAGAATTGGAGCGTGGCCAGGTGACGGAAGAGGAGGGTAGAGTCTGCTGGAAGAGCAAACGTCCAGAGTCAGTGAGAAGGTTCGTGAATGGGGGAAGTGGCCTCGGTCCATATATAAGGGAGATGCGTGGGAGACTCGGGGCTGTTGCTGTGGGGTCTCCGCCTGTTCGAGTGAACGTGTCTCTTCAATGAAGAAACCATCTCAAGACAAGTGTGTCAAGTCGTCATTATAAAGGGACTATATCCCCCAACTCCTCTCAGCCTGTTGCATCGTAGACCATGTGGAGTGAAACTTTAAACGACCCGAAGACTGTTGTCATCATGACTCGGTTATCGTTGATGTGGGGGTAAAATATTAATACATTAATTATGTATTGTAATGAGCGCCTTCTGCGACACGTCGTGTAGAGGGTACTTCTTCTTTTATTCTTACACAGGCACAACACAGGCCAACCTTATCTTTCTCACTCTGAGTACAACATTTAGATATTAGCGTCTCTACTGGCTACACACAAACGGCCGATCACTGGGTGCAGTTCCACCGTCCACACTTGGCTACGCCGCTGGCTGGCGGCGTGACGAGGATGGTGATGGAAGCCCGCAGGACATCTTCCATGTGGCTGGACGACGGAGAGAGATGACGGCGTGAAGCGACGCAGTCCGGACCCAAGACTCCACACACGAACCCCGAACCCTCGTCCGCCCCCGCTTATATCTCCCCAGGCGCGGCTAGGCTCCGCCCCTGGCCACGCCCTATCGTGGAACCTTCGAGCAGGTTCCCAGAGCATATCGGCCAGCCCCGCCCATTACCTTTGCCCCAGATACCTCTCCCTTTCTGATTGGATGTTGTCTTAGTGGTGCTCGTACAGGTGCTTCCCTTTTCCAGCCGGCGGGTGTCACATGATGTCATTACATATGTATGCTGAACTTCTTACACATGGTACATAGTCAACCGTGCTAATTGGAGGTGCGGGGGATGGACAACAAACTCAACACAAAAAGCAGTTATATAGAAATTGGTTTTCAATCTAGAATAATTCTGATGGAAACCAAGGTGTTTCACATGCAATACGGGTGTTTTTCAAAGTTATTTGGTGTTTTACAATTGCATAAAACATATGGGTTATGCATGTGCATTGTAGCTTGGTAGGATTGAACGCAACTGCAGCACACGCGTATGTGATCAAGTGAAGAAGCCACTGAGCCCAGCGTGAGGATGATGATAAGTGCGCTGGAATTGTATTTGTCTGGCAGTGGATATTGTAGTAATTTCACTGTCCCATATGTCAATCTTGCATGTGGCACAGGAGTGCCATGTCAACGGGTGGGTGCTCGTCTTGCATTGACGGTTATGGATGTATTTACTTACATGGGTTTATTCAGGCTTCAAAACAAATTTTGTGACAGACGCAGATAAATGCAAACGTGGCTAATATGGGTGGTATACAGGTTAAACGCCAGCTCGAAAGATAAACTCAAGATAATCTTGGGGGCATCGGAGGCAGATTATTACACGCCGTCCAAGCAATATGAACGGGAAAGAACAACAATGAGACAACCTTCAATTTAATTGACCATTTACTCAAACATGTTTGACCGAGGGATTGATTGGTCGCGATCCCAATTAATAATTCGAGGGGAAAAAAATGGACGAGGGATTGGGTTTGATAGGGTACATTTTTGGGTTCGAGATTTTCGAGTCATCGCAAGCGTAGTCTAGCATCGTAAATTCTGACATTGTTGCGAATGAATACAATGCAGTTCATGTTTATCCATTGTTGTGAATCTTCCTTTGCGGTGTCTGCTAAGACTTGACCACCAGGGCTTGTCATGTGGTGTTGACGTGCAGCTTGGAGGTAAGGCCAGGAGATGGCAGTGCTCAGAATAATGCATTCATGCGCTGTTGGTTTTCACAAAGTACCGCATTCACGTATTCTCCCATATACCCCCCACACACTCATTAATGGCAATGGCCAAATATCCGGGTGCAGGACGCGCTTGAAAAAGAACCGTGATACTCCGTGAATCTTTCCCCGTTTAACAATGTTAACTGGAAATAATGAGTATTGACCTCCGGCTCATTATTAAGATGTGTAATACTGCTGGGATAGTTCGGGAGAGTTGGATAACATTGCAGATATTAACACTGTTATCACAATAGGTAAGGTTTCACGTGATTATAACGAAAGGAAAAAGTCACAGCGATACCGCATGAATTGTGTGCTGTTCACATCACTCGTGTAACAGACACGACAGGACGGTGCACGTTTAAGCACTTCCATACAGCTCTCCTTTATTGTTTCGGGTTGTACCCCCACGTGTTTGTTTGGCATGGTAGTGAAACGTCGGACGTCATGCCGAACAACATGCAGTGCAACTCAAGAGCACATTCGACAACGGATCTATTACGTCACCTTGACTTTTATTCGACTCAACGGCGCTTGACATGAACCAACACAGTTGCGTAGACCCACGTCATTTCCGTGGTGAAAATGCGAGTTACGTGACGTCACCACAGCAGCCAAGTGACTGGAGAGGAGCTTTATTTAAACCATACTCCAGTCAGGCATGAAAATAGTGTTACATAGAATGAAACACATTACATTGTGATTTAGTACGCAATATACTGCGACAGTCGTCTTTATTTTACCTCGTGAATGTAATATTTATTTACAATGAATTTAATCAGTAAACGATGTGGGCTCGTGATATTAAACGCTCATAAAGTAAGCTTGATGCCAGAATAATTTAAGAGGAGGTGAAGAGGAAGGCGAGGTTTGAGATGTACCGCCATCACCACATTGCATAATCGTCCAACCTGAGTAGGGAACACACAAAGGACCATCGTTAGCTCTGTAAGCATGAACAACAATCGTGTGCCATCAATATTGAGCCCACATTCAATGTGTGACTGTTATCTGTTCAAGGGAAAAAAGTAGCTATGCGTAACTCCAGTCCTAGCTAACATGTCTCCTCCATATCCAAACAACTCCTCTTTGAGCGTACCTCGTTCACTGGTTCATGTTTTATTATGACGCTCACAATAAATGAATCAGACTGAATGCGTACGAATAAATGTTCCATGAAATGGGTTCATGTGACCCATGCAATGGGTAGAGACCGATATTACCATATTCACCACATTGTATAAAAAAAAACCTTTCAATTAATGACCCTGAATTGTAAACACTCATTTAATTACGAGACAGAAATTCGTTTTACCCCTATTTACTCAGCTGACGGTCCTTAGCAAGTGGTGTAAATTCCACATTCCCATGGCAGGAACAATGGTATTAATTCGCTAACCATTGTTTTTACTTCTCACAAAAGTGTAAGTAATTTAATCATGAAGAGCTCAATTATCTGGCAGCCATAGTTAGAATTGAGTGCATTGTCCAGTTGGCTCTATATGCTGTCGCGCTATGGTGTTGGTATTATTTTGATGTACAAAAAAAATATGGGTCACAAATCACCACACAAAATAAGCGATGTATGCTCCATAGAAGAGGGACCACAGGTGTGTTAAGCCCCAGTAAAACAATTATTCATCGAGTCTTATGGTGATATCGGATACATACTGCTGCAGCTAGATAACCCTGGGTAAATTTAGCATGCTGACTGCAGTAATGCATTAGCATTTTATAAATAAGCTTAATTTTAAAACAAATATTGTATGCTACAGTTAGAGGAGCTATGCACCTCATGCTATTTTAAATTAAAACACAGAGCACACTTGCACCTGTACCTATGTTTGTTTTCTGGTGCCTCTAGCTCCCAGATGTTCACACACTCTTTTTCGATTTGCCTGTGTTTTTGTCACCGTTAAACTAAAATATACGGCTTACCTGTACATAACTTTTTCATTTAACATTTGCATTACATTATCTTCGCACGTTTCGTTGACACTACCATCAATACCTCTTAATAACCTTGGACTCGTTCTCTGCAAAATGTATGTCTTTGTTTTGTTCTTGCTGTGCTCACACAGCATGGATTCATTTTGTTAGCCAGGAACAGAACCATCCATATAACAAATACAAAATGAATGTGAAACGGAAAAAGGTGAGAATAGGTTTTCCCCTTTTTTCTGGCAACAAAAGCAGGTGTTAAGATGTTAAAACACCAAAAGTTTCAGTTTGGTGTTTCAACATCTTAACACCTGTTTTGTTCCATTGGAACCTCCTTTGCCAGTAGCAAAATATGATAATTGTTTTTTACACTTTTATCTGGCAACAAAACTGACACCTTTTTTTTTACAAGGAGTCATTTTTGCATTGACCACAATACCTGCGGTCGGAATGCAAACAAAAAACATAACTGATAATGTATGCACTGTCCTTGAAATTGATTGGTCCACACCCGAGACAGCTTTCCTTAGAGCCTCGTCTTACATGGTGTTGGACCAGATGACGCCAAAAGGCGCACAACTCAAAGACAATGCACCATCAGAGTATGAGAACATTTACACATGCTTACCCCGAGCTCTCATACTCTGATGGTGTGGACCAATCAATTTCAAGAACAGTGCATACAGTACATTATCAGAGTTATGTTTTTTGTTTGCATTCCGACCGGAGGTATTGTGGTCAATGCAAACATGACTCCTTTCAAAAAAAGGTGTCAGTTTTGTTGCCACATAAAAGGGTAAATATGGAACTGATTCAGAACATTTTCATACTTCAGAGGTTCGTAAATGTTTCTTCCTTTTCGGTTAATACTAACATAATAAACATTGTCCAGATTATTCATTTAAAATTGGCTTAACTAAGGCATACGTCAGTAAGTACATTTATAAATGCACAACTTTATGACGTGATATTTCGGAAGATTAAGTGTATGAAATGAAGGGGCTGCATTTGCAGAGCTGTGTAAGTACAAACCGAAAAGAACTCACCACCATCATTCACCCTGCTTATTTGCAATATTAACAAAAACAGATTTCTGTATATAAGCCTTTTTTATCGGAGCAGAGAGAGGAAATCCAGATGGAATAAGGTCAGTCCTCACGACACCGGACTGCAGGATGAGTTGAAGATGTGACGGCGAGTCTCACCCATAGGTGACCCTCTCCTCTGCCGGGTCCCGGTAGATCCAGTTTTCCGGGGTCAAGGCTCTCTTACCATACCTATGGGCATGCGCACGTATACGCCAATGTTACAGTACAAGTACAGTTGCCATCACTGTGCGTCACTTGACACCCTGGACAACCTTGCAAATGAAGTGTTCCATCTCAAGGGACTATCCAGGTAAAATATGGCAATGAATATAACATAAAATTTCCACCAGTACTGTAATACGTATGTCCCACCCCGTATTCATCATATGCGTCACTTGTGATGCTCGCTACTTCGTATGTAAATTCAAAAATACTTCCGGTAATGATAATTACCGAAGTATACATAGCGAAAAGATTTACAGTTTCATTGCAATTGTTGTCATGTTAATGCATGCCTATGGACTGCTAGCTGTGGGGATTAATGGCTGTGTGAGAACTTCGCATTAATCCGGGCAAGGGACAAATACGCACCATGATGTGCGTGTGCGTGAGCGCGCACGCATGTGCATGCGAGTGATGTACATGACCTGACAACATCATCTGGGTTAAGTCGTGTAGCCCTGTTGCGGGTCTGTTGTGTGAGACACAGGAGCCGTGTGAGCCTGTGTGCCCTGGTGTGAAGTGTTTTGCACGTGTTCCAACTTGAGCCATGTTTTACACGTCTAATCATGTACGTTGACTTTCTTTCGCACCGTAACTAGTCAACCGTGCCAATCGGAGGGGCATGTGAGCCACGTGGTGCCATGTGAGCCACGCGAGCCGATGTTATTCACGTGTGCCATGTGAGCCATGTTTATCATGTGAGCCCAACGTCATTCACACGCGTCACGCGCGTCACGTGAGCCACGCGAGCTCCACGACACATCCACGCGTGCCACGCGCGAGCCGCGTGCGAGCGGGGATCCGCCAGGACCTCTGGCGCGTGATGAGGTTGATGTAGTGGCGCACGGCCGCCTTGTAGCGAGCCATCTGCTCGGGCGACGCGTTGTCTCCCGGGTTGTCGGGCTTGGGCGGGAAGGCGGACGCGTGCATCCCCAGACACAGGATGGCACACACGCTCAGGGCCAGAGCGGCCATGCGCACACGCGGGGAGACCATCGTCTGTCGTCACAATGGGCAGCGCCCACCCACATACATACATACACACACGCGCGCGCATATATATAAATGCACGATGCATAATGCACCGATACTAAAGGCAAAGATCCCCCGTATAGGCTTAACAGTTTTGGGTGGGTTAGTGCTGTCAACAAACGCCTACGAAGGCCGGGACGGCACACGAGGGGTGGGTGGCCAGCACCACGCGAGGCCCCCTCTGTCTCCCAAGTGGCGATGTTTACACATCGCAACAGGTAATCGTATAAGGCTGAGTCGACCTAGGGGAGGCCCACGACTGGTTCAGGTTAATCGTCACTGGCATTGGCCGTGAACGGTACTCAGACTCGGGTCGCCGATTTTTTTCGCGCAGTTCGCTAACCACACTACACGAGCGCTCCCGACACATTGACGTCTGTGCATACATCATCACGCATCTTCTATTCAGAATGCTTTACATGGTGCCATATGTTGGCAATAATACAACATTGAATTTTATCACTGCGTGCGTAGAGTATGTTCTACATAATGAATGTATTATGCATACGTGTGGACAGGCATGTGCACGCTAACATACCAACGCGATTTGTAACCGGGTTAAAATCAATTAACGAATCTCTCTTCAAAGTGAGATCCGGTACACATTGTACAGGTCTCATGTCTGGAGTAAAGAATTGATGTAAGCGACAGAGTAAGCACGCACGATCGTGGATGTTTTCTATGGTGACATTACAAATGCAGTGTGTTAACGTTTACAAATGCATTTCATGTTGGAATACTTAAGTAAATTAAAACAACACAAATCAGAAGAGTACGTTTTTTTATAATAATCAGCGTTTATATTTCAATGTTTTACTGATGTACATTTATTTATTGCAAAGACTTTTCTGAGGTATTCCTTTATATTTAATAGCATGACAAATTAAGAAAGATGGCAAATTTAGATAATTGAGGTCACAAAGTATTACGCCATATTTTTCATTACATTTAAAAGCATATGGCCTGAAAACAAATGCAAAATATAAGTAATGTACTTTTATTTAAAATGTGCATTTAAAAGTCTCATGAAAAACAATCCTCATGTTTGCAAAGAATTTGTGATATTTTGAAAAACAAAAGACAAAACATACCATGAGACGCATTTGGATTATACACGTAATGCCAAGGTGGCCTTTGTTAGCAATATATATTAGATATTGTTTGGGTCTTTCGCTAAAGTCACGTAGATAGGTTCAAAGAAAATTAAAATAAAATAAAACCACGATGTTTCGATCGCAACACAAGCGGTCGTCGTGTGTTGAGATCGAAACGTCGCCGTTTTTTGTTAGTGTTTTGTTATTTAATTTTAACCTATCTATGTGACTTACCGAAAGACCCAAAGAATATGAATTCCTGCAGTCACGCAAGCTCTAAGTCAAGATTTAATATGTATTAGAGTTTGATTTATTCTATAATGGCTTAAATACAGTTACAATAGGTTACATAGATGGGGTATTTACATATTAAACTTCAGTCATACTGCAAAAAATAAACAATTTGAAAATTGATGTACTCAATGAAATCTATTTGTCACAATATAGTTAAGCAATGGGATCCCTCATAGAGAAGATAATGCAATTAGGCACACACTTCACACATTCTCCATATAAGACGTGTAAATGACCATAGATAAATCGCTGTAGAACCATGGATTCCCATAGACCATTGCATTTCACAGGCAAATCTTTTTTATTACATCACATATACATGCATCCTACAATTTGTATAGGTTATGTACATTACTGAGAGATTCGAATGTTGGCAGAGGTGCGATTTTTTTTGTTTCATGTTTAAAAATTGGTATTTGATCAATCAAAATCAATGTATTTACTTTGCAGTACTCTACATTAATTGAATGAAAATTGTACCAAATGCTTCCACTGGTATATTTCTATTATAATTTTCCAAAAGTTGGCTGAAGACTGAGCAGAATCTGAAAATAAATAATCATCCTATAAATAACGCTTTTATGAAGTAAATATAATTAAAATACATGGGTTGTTTCTTTGCGTGCCCTGTATTTGTGTGAATTATACTCAAGCACCAGTATCGTTGTGCCAATGCACGGATGAGATGCGCACTTTTCCAGACACGCCACGTAAACAGTGTACTGTAATAATACTCGGTTTATCTCACTGTAATAATACTCGGTTCATATCATTGCCCACAATGATAACTCGGCATGATTATTCAACCTGCCGATAGGAAAGACTAAACATTACCGACGTGATGCAGGATTCTTTGTTTACCGCTTTTGTTTCCTCGTTTGAAGTTATTTTCATTCAGAACAAAAAAAGGTTTATTAACTTTAATTCACTGCGGGTTGTACATTATTGCTATAGTATGTTCAAGCATGTTATTCAGTTCTTTATTGCTCGATAGCATCTTGTCAAACTCCCGAAGTTAGCACGGGCTTTTACTGTCAATTATTACCGTAAGTTTCTCATTTGTTATAATTCACATGCATTGTGCATCCTATTTCTAGATTAGACTACGGAAAAGTGATTAGGCATTTTCTAGCAATGTTTGAAAGTTCAATAAAAAAAATTATCCCATAAGCAAACAAGCTATTCGAGAAGAACTAATTTTTAAAAAAAATTTTAAAAAAAATTAGTTTGTGTTCTGGAGCATACCTTTCTGCACGTGATTTAGAAAATCCTTTCGCAATAAAATTCCAGGCAAAGCCAACTGAGTGTGGTGGACGGAGCCAGGTACTAAAAGGCACAACTGGAGCGAGCGCGACGCGAGGCAGGAGGACTCACGGATGCGTGCGAGCGGGCGAGCGAGCGGGAGACGAGGCTGTGAGGATTGAGCGTCTCTGGTCGGATGGCTCCTCCCTGTGACCTGAAGCTCTGCTGCCCGCCGCCTGCGCTCCCCTCTCATTTATACCTTAGCCGCTGTCGTCCGGAGGAGCCCCGCGGTTGTTAAAATTAGGCAGAACCGGATACCAAAAAAAAAAGTTCAAAGAAAACACAAGCACTGCCCCACTTGATCTTTAACGGGGAGGTGGTGCACGTGAAGTGACGCTGCTCAGCCGCGGCGCTCACCCCCGCAGTGACATACTCAACGCCTGGATGTGTTGGCACACACCACACATACGCGCTGCAGGACACACGACCGCACAGCACGCCCTGGTAGAAGAAGACTCACATTACGAACAAATCCACCCCAGCATGCAAACGTTTAATTCACATCTGAGAGAAGATGATCCCGATAAAATATTCAGGATGTATTACTCTGTGCCATATTTTTTTGTTATTTTTGCTTTTGTGTTCATTTTAACTAACGCTTTGATTTTTCATTTCCCCCCCCCCCACTCCAACCAAATGTATTTTTTTAATTGTATCATTGTTATTACGTTGCATGCTGGCACTGCACTAGTAAGCACATTTATCAACCCCAAAAGCGGAGAAACCATGTTCTCTCTCATTTTCGCTCAATTTAACCACTGCGGGTGAACACAGAGACATCAGGGCAGACAGTTGCTCACCGCAATGAACCAGTGGAAAAAATACAATTTCCATCCTACTTATGCTTCCAATAAAAAAAAAACTTTCATCGAATGTTGATGTTCTCATTTTTGTTGTGATCCCAATGTTAGTAGAAGACCCATTTAAATGACAGTACAAATTTGAGGTATGGATCCCAATTATTTTTTTTTAAGTTGATAGACTAATTTACATTTGAAATATGCAAGTGGGAGCTGAACAGTAGCTGCCTTGCTGCCTGGATGACAGCTGCAGCTCACGTGGAGTATTTTGTGATGAAAAGTAGAGGTCATTTCGCCTTTCATCTCCACCTTTAACCCACTCAACACACCAAAAGCATGATAATTAGCAATAAAGCCAATTCATGACCAAGGAAAGTCACATTAAGTATCAATACACTTTTTCAGGAGAGTCCTGCGTTGGAACTTTTGGCCAATTGCATGATTGAGTGTTCAGCATATGGGAGGAAACTAGAGTACCGGGAGAGAACCCAGGGATTGATATTCTTGGTTCTTTCGGTAAAGTCACGTAGAAGGGAAACAATAAAATAATAAAAATATAAAACAATGAAATTCTCACGACGTTTCGACTGTTGTGAAAATTTGAAATTTTCTTGCTGTGGTTTTCACACCTGCTGATGATTGCTTGTGTTGCAGTCGAAACGTTGTGATAATTTTATTGTTTTATAATTGTATTATTTTACTATGTTTTCTCATTAATTCTTACCTGATGATGGTTGCTTGTGTTGCAATCGAAACGTCGTATTCTATTATTATATTTATTTTCTTTCAACGTGATTTTACCGAAACAACCAGAGTAGATCAAAAGTAATTATATTCTTGGTTCTTTCGGTAAAGTTACGTAGATAGAAAAAAATAATCTAAATTAAAAGCAAAAAAACCCTACGACATTTCGATCGCAACACAAGCACTCTTCTGCACTCTTCTTCAGGTTAATGTTACTTAACATGTTTTGAATTGCCTCTCAGCACACATTAACGGGCACTTGTGTTTCATACCCATTCATGTGGATATTGTATGCGTTATTAATGGTATGCAGTGGATGAAATACATACATTACACGATTATAGTATATAAACATGCATTTTCCAAGTTGCTTAACAAAGGCAAATTATGACCATGCCATTAACGTTTGTATTAAAATGTCCAAAAAGAATGCATTTATGGTAGCCCAAATAATAACTGCCCACCACTATAATTATCAGTGGCATGCCATTTCTCCCGGAACATTTGTATAGAGTAATGAAGTGCGGCTACTCCTCTGGCCATGTGAGCACTTCCATTAATGTACTGCATGCAAGAATGTACCATACATAATACGTAAATAGCCACTAAAGTTTTGCTGAAAAGAGCCAACAAATTAGAAAGGACATAACAGGAGAGAGCCTGTTAAGTTGGTTGACTGAGCATTGCTCACCCTGAGAGGTGCTCTTTGCCGAGCTGAGAGGTGCTCGTTGCCGAGTATAAAGCTCTTAGGTGGTTTCTTGTCAGGGCACGGTCAGAGCCCACATTACTCTTAACCACACTTGATGTCATGTGTTTACATTTGGAGTGACATAGAATCGGTCACGTAGCAGCATAGCACTGGCTGCTGGCAGGCAAGGGGATCTGCAGCTTACAGCAGCCCTGACTGACAGCAGGTCACGTGATAGACCAGAGAGGGATGTAGGGGAAAGGTTACGGAACGAGCACATAGAGAACACGCTAGTAGGTTCCAGAAGGGGAGTGTGGCCGGGGGCGGAGCCAGGCCACGCTGACAGTATAAGAGGAGCCCTGGGAGGGGACCTCGGGGCTGTCGTTTGGAGTGGGGGGATCCCCGTCGTGCTGCTGCTGGAGTCTTCACCGTCGTCTCCGTCTTCACCATATCTGCGTCGCCAGTCAGGCAGTCTACCAGCTGCCCTGACTGGGAACCGTAGTTACCAATGTGTTAACTGTTATGGCCGTTTGATAAACAGAGTGCCTACTCTTAATATCTTTGAGTCCGTTACGATACATTCATTGAGATACAAAATGTACATAATTTAAGTCTTTCTTCCATTGAATGCAATGGTTATTATGGTACAAAGTTTGCAACAATCATATTTTGGGATTGTCCTTTTTTTTTTACAAATTAATTGAAAAAAATCGTTACTATATCATCGTATTATTGTGAATGGAATGATATGTATGGTTTTGTGTAATTGTCCTCGTCATCTGTCTATTCCTTTGGCCCTTTAGTGACAACGGGGTCAAATTAATTTCTCCCGTGGTTCTCTTTCCTTAGCCAGTATTACTGCTTCATTCAGTCACAATCCTTTCGCTTCTAAATTTTTTACTGGTGCATCTCTCCACCTGATACCTGATTTCCCATCTCCCCATAATCCTGTTTCTTTCCACTGTTACATTACATCGCAGACTACCGGATCCTGTCTGGGCTCATTCTTGTTTTACGTAAAAATGACTAAATATTTTGTTTTCAGTCAGTGGCATCAAAAAACTTTTTTTATACATATATATTTCATACACATTTCCCTGAATCCTGCCTTCCATCTCACCCTCTCTTTTGTCTTTGTATCTTTCCACCCACCTCATTATTGTCCCCCATCTGTGCACACTTGTCCCTAAATCCTTGCCTGACCTCCAATCCATATATTAACTTATCAAAGCTGCCTTCCATCTCTGCCCTGGGCCTTGTCTGCTGCCAAAGTTGCCCTTTAACTCGTTTTACTGCCCCGGTTGCCCCTGAGACTCATTGGTGAACGGCCCCAGCCTGCCTCCCAATGCCAATATGCTCTGGGATTTGTTGCTAAAATGCCCTGCGCCGATACAATTCTGCCGTGGGACTTGTTAGTGAAGGCCTCTGGCCTCCAAGGATGCCCTGAGACTCGTTGATGCTGCTGTGGCTGCCACGAATATCGACATGTGACTATTTTTGGTGTTGGAACCTCCTTTCTTCATCTGGGATTGTGCCACGGTATTGTGCTCTTTTTTTCCCATGTTTCCTTCAACTGACCTCTTTACATCCCTCCTACTATAATTAAATTATTCATTGTTGTAAAGCATCTCAACATCTGATTACGTTTTGACACTGCATTAATTGTGTTTGTTGTTGTCATTACATATATCTCTGCAAAAGTGGGGGTGTTTTTCATTGAATATGTTATTCTCGTCAATATTTTTCGGAACACACTAACTGCCCATCATGTGAGTCAGCAGCTCCCCCGTACCCTCTGACAAATTAGTGTGGAAATGTATTGAAGAAATCAGAAAATATTGTGCAAAAATGAGTTTCCCCATGGTGTCGTGACTCATATCTTTTTCAAATGTGAGTTCTCACAAATCACTTTGCTGAAATATTAAACTTTCAAAAGGAAGATTTCACTTTCCTAGCAGACAAGTAGGTCTCAACCATTAATAATATGGTCCTTTATAAGTAATCAAATTAACATGCACAAGACTTTTCTTGAGAAATATCAATGTCCAGTCATTCCACCGCAAGATTTGATCCCTTCTCGATATAATCCAAAACGAAGTTTTGTCTTTCATAAGGAAATTCCCTATTTATGTTACCAAACAGTAGGTAACATAAATTGGTGGTGGCAGTTTAAAAATGTAAACAATGTCAACAAATAAGATGCAAAGACATTGGCCATACATCTTAAGGAATTATGCTGCATATGTTGTGCTATAGGCTATTACAGCTGTGGGTGGCACTAACGCAAAATGCAGAGGGACAATAGCAGAATGTAAAATTTTCTCTCCCTGTGTGAGATAAAAGTCCTCGATATTTTTTTTAACGCACGTTTTTATCAAGCATATATATTCTGTATGTACACTCATAAAAAATCATAAACATGTATACTGTTCATCTTTTTTGGTTCTTTCGGTAAAGTCACGTAGAATGAGAATAAAATAATAAAATAAAACAATGAAATTCTTACGACGTTTCGGCCACAACACAAGTAGCCGTCCTCAGGTGAAGAAACATGACTGTCCAGAAGACAGTGCTTGAGTGAACCCTGTCAAGCTTGACAGCGTCTTTTTAGCTGTGTGGGAGGAACAGAGAGCCTTGACAAAGGAGCATTAACTGGGAGATCAGCATTACGGAGAGCGAAGGAGCTGGGACCGGAGGAGGGAGGGGGAGTTTACATATAAACTAGCATGTAACTGGGGGATCAGCATGATGTTGGTGTGAGGGATTAGCACCACGGCGAACGACGAGCTCGGACCGGTGGATGGGGGGAGAGGAGTTTACATATAAATTAGCATGTAACTGGGGGATCAGCGTTGGTGTGAGGGAGAGAAGAGCACCAAGGAGAGAAAAAATGGCGGTTTTTCCCATCTCCTCAACAACCAGCACCAAGGACAGCGACATTCAGGCGGACGGGTCAATCCATACTCGGAAGGGAGGAGGGGGGAGGGAGAAACAGTCACAATGCCAGCGAAAGAGCTGCGGTCTGACGGTCACCGCAAAATACAATTAATTAAGAACCGAAATGGTTTAAAACATCTTTCCAATGGTTACTAAGCCAAAATCCATCCTCTCGGTTGAAATTGTCTCTGTGTTTGTATATGTGGATGGC